TCTACTAAGTTGTTTAGCTCTCCACTTGCAAGTCTGTTTTATACTTATATCTCTTTCCTAAAAGTAGGAGAGAAAGCCATTATATAATGGCATTTAGTCTGCAAACATGAAAAAACAAATTTGCAGCTCTTAATTACTAGGTCAATGGAAAACCATTTAAATGTTGGTTAGTGAGATGTATGTCTCAATCAAAAGGGGATTAACTTGGTCTCTATTCAGTTGTCTAGCTCCCAATTTGCAAATTTGTTTTATACTTTTATCTCTTTCCTAAAAATAGGGAGAGAAACATTGGGTTAAGCCATTATATAATGGCAACTCATCCAGCTAGACACAACATGAGAAAACAAGTTTGGAAAGGACAAGTAACCTCTCATTGTTTTGATCCAATTCGGATTAGATAGCTTCCTTTTGCATTTTGCTCAGGTGGACTGTGTGCCTTGGATCCATTTATTTGCCTTCTTACAGGGTGAGGCGATTACATCTGGATCATCCATTAGAGCTGCACTCAACTCTCCCAGTTCATTATGCAAGTGGCATGTATGTATGTATGCAACTATGCTTTCATGAATGTATGTATGTATTTATGTGTTTATGTATGTATGTATGTATGTATGTATGTATCTATATGTATGTATGTATCTATATGTATGTATATAATCATTCAGACTGCATTTTATAAGAGTACAAACAGATAACGGGTAACGGGTTTTTCTCAAAAGTATATTCCTTTTATTTACATGGGTGCTCCTATTGGAAAAAAACGTCTTGGAATTAAGGACTTTGAACCTATTTTACAAAAATTAAAAAACAAAATTGATGGTTAGAGGGCCAAGCTTTTAAGTATTTGCTATATATATATATATTGTGGAGCCTCAAATTTTGGAAACAAAAAACATTGGATTGGATGGACAAAAATTTGTAACCTATTGATGAAGGGGGTTTGGGAGTGCGATTCATGTTTGATATTATTAAGGATTTCAGGTTAAAAGCTTGGTTTAAAATCATTAAAAAAGAGGACATGTGGGCAAAGTTTATGAGTTCAAAATATATAAATTCCACACCTCTAATTTTGCTCACTACTCCTTCCTCTATTACTAGATAATAGGGAAAGGTGGAATTTCCTTTTGATATGATAACTGGTTGGGTTGTGGGCCTTTGATTTGTCAAATTGATGAAAGTGAAGTTGAAATTGGGGGTTTTACTTTAAATAAGATTTTGAACCAAGAGGAATTATGGGCTTTTCATGATGTTGGAACTATTTCTCAAGCCATTCAACAGAGAGCTATGGACTCAAATTGTTGTTTAAGCAATGAAGATGATAGGTTAATTTGGAAGTTTAGTCAAAGTGGCTCTTTCACTACAAAATCTGCTTGGAATATCATTAGGAATCATTTCGCAACACATCTACTGGTTTAAATATGTTTGGAAGGTTAATCTCCCAATTAAAATAACCATTTTTATGTGGAGATTTATGCATGGTGTTGTTCTAGTTGATGATGATGATGATGGTGATGAGATCTTCTCACGAAGAAGTGTTTATATAGCTTCCAAGTGGTGTTGTTATGGTAGTCATGGGGTAGAATCATTTAATCATTTATTTTCCACCGGAGTTATGGCTTCAAAAGTTTGGTCTTACTTTAGTAATATCCTTAACATTCCCGTCTATCCTACTCAGCATGTAGTGGATCTAGTTCTTCACTAGTGGAATGTTTGTAAAAGAGATACTCAAGTGGATCAAGTTATTTGCATCACTCCGTCTATAATCCTTTGGACCATCTGGAAGAAAGATGTAAACTTATATATGAAGGTAAAGGTTCTTCATCCTTAGTACAAATGGGTTAGCTAGTAATTTTCAAGTAAATTTGCTCACAAGTTAATGTGGATGGGGCTTGTCGCGGCAATCCTGGTGAACGAGGAGGTGGGGGTTTACTTAAAAACTCTTTTGGAACTCTCTACCTCTATTCAATCAGAATTTTTATCTTTGTATGAGGGTCTAAGCCTTTGTTTGCAAAGAGGCTATAAAGAGATTGAGGTTGAAAGTGATAGCATGATAATTATTGACATTGTAATGGGTAAATCGGATTATCCTTGGAATTTTGTTTACAACTTTACATCTTGCGCAAGATTAAGAACTTAGTGCAGAGAATGAATATTAGGTGGAGCCATATCTTATGAGAGGGAAATCGCTGTGCTGATCTCCTAGCTAACAAAGGAATTAATGAAAGATGCGTGCTTATGGTGATCAATGCTAATTCTCAAATTCCTAGAGATTTGACTTGAAGATAATTTGGGTTTGCCTATCCTTAGAATTAATTAGGTCTTGTTAGGATTTTTTGCTTTGTTTTTCTTTTGGGTGGACTTGAGATTGTGAGGGAGAGCAAGGCGGGCTAAGTCCTCCCTTGTTATCACAAATTTTTCTTCTTAAAATGGTTAATGAAATTTAACCACCTAGAGTAAAGCTTGGGGTTAAAAAAAATAGAAGTACAAATACAAATCCAAATGATTTAGGAGGGGGCAAACTAGACCAGACTTCCATGGATTTTCCCTTGATTTTGTTTGGCTGTAAAAGATAATCGTCTTTGAAATGTTTTTATTCTAGCACTCGTATTTGCCAGATGCCCTTGATTGGAATAACCTTGATGTAAGGATAAATCCTATATCGACGGCATAGCCTACACCAATGGATAAAAGTGTCTTTATGCTTAATGCAGTATTATTCTTAATTGTGATTGTTTGTTTTACTGTTGAACAAACTATTGCCATGTCAGCATAGTTTGCTTGGCAAGGCCAATAGGTTGGCTAGGTAGTTAAAAATCTTCTGGCACCCACCTGGACACTTGTGATTGATCCAACGGGGCACAATAGGTCCAACTGATGCTAAAACCAAGTTGACTTTGTAACTATTGGGATTCTCCTAACAGTAATATTTTTCTTAACGTTAAAGAAAGCCCACACCTATAAATAGGGCCTCTTGTTATGAATACAGAATACACAGAAACTGTCAGTCTTTAGAAACAAGCCATCTTTGGACGTTTGCTATTCTGGGTCATTATTGAGTTCTTTGGTGTTTTGCTAAGGCTCAGTTTGGAAAGAGTACAAATGCAAATATGTACAATGTAAATACATACAAAATAATATAAATTATAAGGTCTTGCATTCTATAAATTTAGATTTATACTCCATCCAAACACAGCTTAAAGGATCAAACAAGCGTTTTTTGCACTTTTGGATTATCTTTGTGTGACAGGGGCTATCATTGGATAGGGGCTGTTGACTAGTACAGCACCACACTAATAACCCCCTCCCTAATATAGGTGGTAGTACAGCATCTTATGGGAACAAGCCAGCTAATGTACCAACTGAGTCACCCCTAAGTTAGTTTTCCCATCAAAAGAATCTATATATACAACAACTTCCTATTGCAAGAAAAGTAAGAAGCAATACATTTCCCCCCTCTTTACATCTGAAATGGACTTCTCATTTCAGATTGGCTGTCAAGAACAACTAAACTTGTGGATCTACACACTTAGTCACACCTACAAGAAAAATGGAAACTCAATTGTCCGAAGATTGTTCTAGAAAGAAGAAGATGAAGATCGATGGACTTGAAAATAATGGTTTTTGAACTGTTGTTGGATCAGACGGTTGGACTGTTCGGCCTGGGAACCGTCTAGGCAATCGATTCCGTTTTACCCCAAACTTGATGCCTGGCTAAAAAACCGTTGAATCGGTCAATGACCTATTGACCTGGGCAGTCGAACCATTGACCTGTTCTACCCGTTCAACGGTTTTTGGCCATTTTTAAATTTTAATTATTTTTTATTTTTAATTTATTTTGTCAGAACAAACCGCCCGTTTGGACAAGAAAGTCAAACTGTCAACCTGGAAACTGGTGGCTAGAACGATTTCAGTTCCAGGTCGTTTTTCAAAACATTGGTTAATATATGCAAGAAGGAACTTGCTTGCTAGTTGGGTAGGCAGATCAGGAAACTCATTGGCTGATTCACTTGTAAAACAAGGGGTTTCCCGGATACTTTATTTTGGACTTCAATATAATTTCTTTTGTACTTATAATTCTGTAATTAGCTTTAAAGGAAAGTTCACATCTCATGACTTTCCACAGGTTTCATGTAACTCTTATTTGCTAGTTTAATAAAATTTCACTCATTTATCAAAAAAAAAAAAAAAAACTTTCTTGCTAGTTGGTGGTTGAAGAGAGAAAATATCCTAGCTGTTTACTTCGATAGACAATGAGAGCAATCATTTACTTCAATTTTTTGAAGCAAAATTTGCACTCATTTTGGGGGGTAAATAACTTGCTATCTAGGGATGACCTTTCGGTTTGTTCCTTTCAAAATTTGCACTCATCAGCATTTCTTGTCTCATCCCTTGTTCCATGGTTTCAAAACTGGACCGGACCAGAAAAAACTGAGAACCGGTCTGGTGACTGGTTCCGTTTTACCCTAGAACCGTTATTTTTCCAAAACCGTTGATTTGATGAGTAAACCGCTGACCTAGACGGTCGAACCATTCAACGGTTTGGCTGGTTTTTATTTTTTTAATTTTTTAATTTTTTATCAGAACGGGCCATCTATTCGATTCGAACGGTTGGATCCTTCGACCCGGAAACCAGAACCTGACCGATTCGTTGTCCGATTTGATTTTAAAAACCTTGTTTGATATAAAGATTCAAGGTTACAGTGCCCGGGTCTGACGAAAGCAAAAATTCTGATAGCACGAAACCCAGCCGCACATCGGGAATATCTGACGTACAGTATCTGACATGTTCCAATGTGCGGCTGCTTAGATGTTCGTAGTGTTTTTTGCTTCCAGTTCCAGGAGATCTATCCACCTTGGCAGACAGATGGCCCAATAAACTCACAATATTCTATATGTGTGGACCGTGATACACTTGTGAGCTGTACGACAAGAAAAAGATTACGCTTAGCATTGCTCTACACTTGAAGATGACAGTTGGCTCGACATCAACTGTCAGGACATCGGCTGGATAAGGAAACAATCAGTAATCTAGCATAGTTAGAAACTTAGAAAGAGAGTTGAGACTAGAGAGAGAGAGAGAGAGAGAAATGGTTGGAGCAATTTCCACTTCTTCTCTGCCGTCATCATCGATCATCTCCAACCACGAAATCTCCAGTTCTAGAGGAAGACAACCAAATCAATTGTTCAATCAGAAGCATATTCATTCAAGAAATCTCTCTCTCTTTTTATCAACAGTACCTGCTGCTGTGGCGCTCAAGCGCACCAGATTCAGGTCTCATTTCACTGTCAAAGTTTTTTCAGGTAAAATGCTGTCTATATCGCTCAGCTTTGAATTGCTTCAGTGATGGCCAGGATTATGTTCTTATTTGGAATGCTGGATCTCCTATTAGACTAGATTCGGTTCAGTGATGACCACGACTAGGTTCTTATATGGATCACGCCATTGGGCATCCGAAATGCCGGAAAATGACGTGATTCAATTGATTTCTGCAATAGGGTTGTGATATAAGAATTTCAGTCAATTTTGGCCGGAAGGTCTTCTTTATATGACAATGCAGAGCATGGGATCGTGGGTCTTGCTCGGTTTATGTGTGTTTCTTGAAAGTGTGGTAGAGAACATGAAGGATATGTTAAGCATTTCGCATGAATGCTAGAACATGCAGGCAGATTTATATGTTTTTTGTTTTGCTAGGATTAAGAAGTAAATCCACAGAAATTAGGGATATAATTAATCAGTATAATTTTTCTCCAAGTTTTATCATTTACCAAATTGTTGTTTAGTTGAAGATTGGCTTTGTAAAAGAGGCCCAAACATGTATTATGCCACCCATGCTTTGTCTGGGTCTACATGTGGATGTCATCCTGCTCATATGGGGCATCAGTATGAAACATTCATGGATTCCATGCTGGAGGTACATCTATTCAAATTTGCCATGGAATCCTGCATGCTTTGAAAAACTTATTTAATTGTCCATCATAGATATGTTATAACGTTTCTTGCTTTGTGAGCCCTTGATTGCAGTTGAAAGTGCAGAATATGCTGCGGAACCTGCAACCAATGTGAAATTTCAGACGTCACTAAGCCTGCCTGGTTGCTCTAGTGAGTTGGCTTTGCTTGGGACAGGTAACTTGCTTTACTTTTGGCCCTCATCTTAAAATAGCCATTAACTGCAAATGTAAGCAAACGTCATAAGTTTGTGTATTTTTCGTCAATGTTAAGTTGCGAAATAGCTCTTAATGTGCATAAAGAAAGACGAACTATGACAATTTTGAGGGCATACATGCATTTGTTTAGGGACGATAAAATTGCTTGACTGACTAAGGTTAAATGATTCAGTTTAGTTCCATAAATGACTTAAGTTTCAGCTTGAGTACCTTGATGAGAGCAGCTCAACTTCCTATGCACTGTTACAGCATATTCAGATTAATCTTCAATGCATTTTGGGGATTTGAAGGTCTCTAATGGTAGTTGTGAAGTTCACAATCTGAGCCACTTCATGTTTGACTTATTATTTGCGTCGTTTGATCATACTTGATTGAACATTAAATGTTCAATTTGTGAGTTTAATCCATTGAAGATATTGAAGGTCAAATTTCTAGATTCATGAAATTTGGTATGTAGAATATGTGAATAAGAAAGACCAAAACTAGGCACTTGATTATAGAAAGTAGATTAAAGTTTTTTTTTTTTTTTTAAACTTCCCAAGTTTGAATTTATTCCGAGTTATTCGGGACTTGGGAGTAGAACTAAGTAGTTGTGCGCATCCACTGGAAGGTGGTGAATCCGACAACCATGATTCAAATACAAACCACTTGCACCCTATGAGACCCAAACATGGATATTTATTATGGGAAACAGGGATACAGCTTTGTTTCCTTGAACTCTTGGCACGATATAAGTATAGGTATCCATATATTATGCTTATATCATTCTTCTATATCCATACCGTATGTCTAGATATACATTTTTTTTAGTTTGATTTGTCATAAAACATTTGAATCACATACACAAAAAATAGAAGAAATGCAACAATGTAACATTCAAAGAATCCAGTAAATCTCTTGCCTCATCCAGGTAATGCGCCAGCCTCCATGGTCCACCTTCCTTCTCTCCAATCCACTTTATAGTATTACTAGAATTACCTTTAATGAGTAGTGAAGACCGACCTTGCTCTCGTGCAATACGCAGTTCAGTTAGTACAGCTAGTAACTTTACCATTGTTGAGTCTGCAATCCTAATTTATCCACTAAAGCCCACCACAGATTTCCATCCCTTCTCTTAAACAGACCTCCTATGCCTGCTACTCCAGGATTTCTAAGGGCACTTCCATCAAAGTTCAGGGTCACCTCTTCCTTTTCACTTGAAAGAGGAATGCTTGTTACTTTTAGAGAAATGGGAGAAGAAAACAAGTTTTCCACCACACTTTGCTGAAGACCATTCAAAGATAAATAACCTTTAAACACCTCTGAGTTCAACACCCACAGATTGCACAAGTAGGAAATGTGAAGGATCAAATCACCCATAGATCTAGCTTTATTGTCAAAAATCCGGTTGTTTCTTTCTTCCCACACCCCACACATGACTGCTTGAACCACTTTGCACCAGTAAACTTTGCCCCCCTTTCGTAGTCTTCTTCCTTGCCATTGCTGAAGGAAGTCTTCAATGTATTCAGGAGTGACCCAACTGTATCAAACAAGGTTTAAGAAATAGACCCAAATGTTCCTTGTTTCTGAACAAGGTAAAAGGAGGTGCTCAGCTGTTTCACCATTGCTGAGACAAAGAATGCAGACATGGGGGAAGATGCACTTCCTACCTTTGTTTTTCTTCTGTAGCTAATTGCAAGTGTTTATCTTTTTCAAACAAGCCTCCACGCAAAAAAAAAGAGACTCTAGGAGGGATGTGGGAGATCCAAATCTTCTTGAAGGGGAACCTAGATTTAGAGACTTCCAACACTATGGTCCTAAAGGAAGACTTTGTGAACTTACCGGTAGGTGATGCTTCCGGATTCTTTGGTCTGAGATTAAGGGGGACAGATAGACCTCTCTTAAGGAATACAGAAAATCTGCAAGTTTAGCTGTCTCTGCATCCCTTAAAGGTCTTATTAAACTTAGGCTCCAAGCTATATCAGGTTGGGAAGCAAGGAAACAAGAGACAATAGTGGCATCTAGGGTTGGGGAAAGGTTAAATAAATGGGGGTAGGAGTTGGCTAAAGTGTTTTCTCCCCACCAAGTCGAGAATTTGATTTTATCCCCATTTCCTACTTTGTATCTAATAGAAGAAATAAAAGCAGTGTAGACAGAAGATATATCTTTTCAAGGGTTTCTGTTTACACTTGATTCAAGTTAACCTTTCTATCCCAACCATTGAAATCCTTTCCATATTTGCTGCTGATGACAGAAGTTCAAAGAGGATATTGCCACAACCATTTCCCTAAAAGAGTTACATTCCTCTCCTTAGTGTCCTAAACCAAGACCCCTAGCTTCCTTTGGTTTGAACACTTGATCCCAACTGACTAGGTAGTTTTTCTTATCTCCACCCCCATCCCATAAGAAATGCCATTGGAGTTTTTCAATTTTGTTTGACCTTTACTAGGATTTGGAAGACCAAAAGAAAATAAATAGGTAAATTATCTAGAGAGGTCTTGATTAAAGTAAGCCTTCCTCTTTTTGAGAGAGAACTTTTCTTCCAAGTGGCAACCTTTTTTTTTAACATTTCTCCACCATTGGTTCCCAAAAGCAAAGGCTTCTCAGATTTCCTCCAAGGGGCATCCCCAAATAAGAAATAGGAAAATTTCTACTTTGCAACCTAGCACCTCCTTAACACTATTCACTGAGTTTTCACTTCAATTTATTTCTGTAGTGCCACTCTTGGAAAAATTTACTTGGAGACCCGTGACCATCTCAAAGCAACTGATTACTTTGGTTAAAGTGTTGATACTTTCCAACTCAGACTCTAGGAATAAAATGGTGTCATCAACAAAAGAAAATGAGATACAGGATTGGTTTCCCTTCCAACTTCAGAACCTCTCAACAAGTTAAGACTTTTCCTTCTCAATAAAGTAGATTAGGACATTATCTACCAAAGTGAAAAGGAATGGGGAAGGGGGCAGCCTTGCCTAGGACCCTTGCTGGCCCGTAAGTAACCTTTAGGCTCTCCATTTAGCATTGCTGAGAATCAAGCATAGCTAATACAACCTTTCATTCATCTTACCCATCTTCTTCCAAATCTTCTTCAATCCAATAATTTTAGTAAGCACTCCCAATAAACTTTATCATAAGCTTTCTCCAAATCCAATTTAATCACCACTCCTGATTTACTCTTTGTCTTCTATCTTCGACACATTCATTGGCCAATAGAATTCTATCTATGGTCTGCCTTCCTTTGACAAAGGCAAATTGGTTTTTGGAAATTAAGTCCCTTGTCGCTTTCCTCAACCTACCCACCAAAACTTTAGCCAAAATTTTATAAATTCTTCCTACTAGGCTAATTGGCCTAAAATCCTTGACTTCCAAAACACCCTCTTTCTTTGGAATTAAGGTGATAAAAGTCAAATTACTGCCTTTATTTACAATGGCTGAATTGAAGAAAATCTTTGGACACTTCCAATAAATCTGATTTGATTGTTTCCCAACAGATTTGATAGAAAAGCAAGGGAAATCTATCTAGTCCAAATGCCCTGTCTCCATCCATACTAAAAACAACCTCCTTCGTTTCCTGCTCATGAAAGTCTCTTTCTAACAAAATGTTCTTTTCCTTTGATAGAATAGAGCCTTTCTAGCTGCTCAAAGAAAAATTTTTGCTACCGTTCTTTGTATACAACTCCTTAAGGAAGTTTGTTATAACCTCTGCTATCTCCCTTTGGTCCTCCACTTCTCTTTGGTTAATTACTATCTCCCTCCTTCAAGGCTTCAACCACTTTAATCTAGATCTTTGACACCAATAAACCTCCTCCCTCCTAATCACCTTTTCCCATTCTTTCCTGAGAACCTTCCTTCTACTTCTGCCTTCACTATCCAAATTCCCATTCTGCTCCTCCGCATTTACTACCTGATGGGTGCAGGTAGGGTAGGGTATTAGGCTAAACCCAACCCAAACCTCCCTGACCTGCATATTGTTGGAAAGCATATGAATTTTATGTATCAGGTGTTGCATTTAATAATATTTTGAATTTTATGTGAAGGGAAATTGATATTCATATTTTTTTATGTCTTTATCAAATAATTGGAAATTTTGTTGTTTGTTCATGTTATTTTACTTATTTATTACTTATATATAACAAGAAATAATAGGAAATTAGATGCATGTTCTAACACCAATCCACGCTACCCTTAAATGCGGGGAGGGTTTTGCATTTTCATGTGTGGGAAGGGTTTGGATTCTCAAAATCGAACCCGCTGTGGGTTTTGAGGCGGGTATAGGTTGGGAGGTTTGGGGAGGTGGGTAGGGTCTAGAATTTACAAAACCCTCCCCGAACTTGCCCCATTGATATTCGACCCATCCCTATCCTTAATCGAAGCCTAGCTCTTGAAGGCTTTTCGTTTTGGCATCTACTTCCACAAGACCACCACCGAGACTCCCAATTAGCTCAAACATCTCCTCTATCTACAAATGGAATGAAAGATCTCAAACTATTCATCCATCAAAATTCAAACAAGTTGGTTTTGCATTCACCATCAACCACTAATGAGAAACCAAAACTCATTTTTTTGAAGATGAACACATTTTTCAATTTCAACCAAACCATAACCAACTTTTTTGAAGGAGCAAAACCCATTGCTTTGTTTGAATTAAAAGCCCTAACTCCACTTCTCTCCAGTTCAAGTCTTCTTGTTTAGTGCAAACAAAAGCTGTTTTCCGTTTTCTAAAAGGGCTGGTCTAATGGATAATAGAGATATGTCAGAGTCACCACCACTTTGCTCTTTTTTCTCCAAAAGTGGAAAGGACTCCGGTGGAGGAGCTGAAGTTCTGTGGCATACCTTGTTGGGAAAAAACACGAAAGTGTAAAGTAAAGTCTTCCATATGCTTTTGTTGGTTTCTTTTGGTATGCAAATGCTGCATAGTCTATCTGTTTCTTCCCAATGACTTACCTTGATAAATCTCCCCCATCTGTTTTTGTTAACTTGAACTAGGATCACCCTACCCCTCTCTACTCATTTCTTAGGCTCTATCTCTTGGTATTCTACTACCTTCTAAAGAACATCCACTTGTTGTGTGTGCAATTGGATGCTACCGTGAATAGGCAGATGATGGCTGGGACTCTGGGATTGTGGCAAGGACTAACATGGCCTCTCCTTGGAAATCCATACATGCCATTCTTCCTTCTTTTCTGCAATACATCAGGTATGATCTTTGTTCTGGGAGTTGGGTTAAATTTTGGGAGCATTTGTGGGTGGGGGATGTACCTCTGAAAGACCAATTTTCCTCTTTATTCTCCCTCTCCCGTTTCAAAGGGAAGTGTGTGTTTGATTTTTTTGGTTCCTTCTGAGTCAAATTTTGGGTATGATTGGGATTTGGGGTGGTTTTGGACCCATCAAAAAGGGATAGTAAAATTTGGACTTTGTCCCCTTGTAGGGTTTACTCTTGTGCTTCTTTCTTTAAGTCCTTGGTACAACAAACCAAGAATTCAATTCAGTTTTTCCTAGTCAAGGAAATTTGGGGTGAACCGATCCCTCCAAGGATTGGAGCTTTCTGTTGGAAGGCATCCCTGGAAAGATGTAACACATGTGATTTACTCCAAAAGAAAAGGCCAAACTGGTGCTTATCCCCAAATTGGTGCACCCTCTGCAAGGCTAACGGTGAAAGCTCCTACCACTTACTAATTTCATGTCCTTTTGTTTCTGATATATGGGAATGGTTTATTTCTTTATTTGTTTGTAAGTGGACCCCTCCTCTAGATATACAAAGCTTGTTTGCCACTTCTTTCCTTAGATGGCCTAAGAAAAGGGGTGGGGTTATGTGGAGGTGTGTGAGGGCTGCCATTTGCTGGACTATATGGGAAGAAAGGAACTCCAGGACCTTTTCTGATAAGGAAAGGAGAAAAGAAGGTATCATTGAGGTAATAATGGTTAGGGTGGTGCATTGGCTGAAGTCTCTGGATATGTTTGCTGATGTCTCTACGGCTACGTTTCTAAATAGCTAGATGGAAGTGGAAAGTTCAGCTCCTTTCTCTTCAGTTGCCTCTTCCTTTTGGACTCCATCAGGCCCAGGGTGTGTAAAATTAAATTTTAATGGCAGTAGTGAAGGTAATCCTGAGCCCTCAGGTGTTGGTGGGGTGTTCAGAGATGAGAATGGTAAGGTGATTGCTTTGTTTTCAGGCTCCATTGGGAATGGTGACTCTCTAAGAGCTGAGGTATGTGCCTTAATGGAAGGTTTAAGGAAGACAAAGGACCTGAGTATTTATAGACTAATTGTGGAAGGAGACTTTAAGCTGGTTACAGAAGGACAATGGACTGTGGAAATATGCAAATGATAGAAGGGAGGCTAAATGGATAACTAGAGGGTTGGAGGTTCAGTTTCAATGGGTGAAGAGGACACAAATGCTTTTGCAGATACGTTGGTGAAACAAGGGGCAGGAAGGGAGCAGATGTTTTGGTCTGTATTGTAATTTTCTTTTCTTTTCTCTTTTTTGGGAGAGTTAAGCCTCCTATCCTCTTCCCAGATTGTTGTATTATTATTGTCCATTAATAAATTGATTATGTTATTGATAAAAAAAATGGATGCTACTGTGAAGTGCAAAAGGGAAAATAATAAATGCAGGAATTAGAGGACTTATCGGCTGAAGTGTGTTTAAACACTGTCCTTAAGTAGAATTTTGCCTCCTCTGGATCAAGTCTGGTGCAGTATAGGAAGACTGGTGTTTTGCTCTAGGATTCAACAGCCTTGAAGGGAGCTCAATAACCATGCACTCAAAATACTAAGTCACATGAACGGCAACAATCTTCAACTCAGCTATGAGTCTAAATGTGTGATGCGAGAATGATTGAGTGCAGTGGCTCACTCGAGCATGGGTATAAATAGACCCATTATCCCAAGTGAGAAAGGTGGCAACTCTTTTGAGAGACACCATTAAGAGACAGTAAGGTAGATATGCGGGCAGATAAGCCACACCCACACCCGACACTTGACACCCGACCCATCTCGGCTCAGCACATGCGTGATAAAGGATTCCCAAGCACCATCCAAGCCAAGAGAATGTATATAGACACACCCCATTTGGGTCCCCATAAGGCAAAGGCCAACTCCTAGTAATAAGTTCAAAACTTTCTTGTAATTATCCTATGTGGGATTCAAACAAAACACTAGGAGAAACAAGTGGAGGGAAGTTTGAGATTTGGCTAAAACTCAAAATAGAGTTTGCGTGGGTATGAAAATACAAGTGTGGGCACGTGCAATTAAGTGCAAAAGACAAAAGGTCTTAAAGAACAATTTAACCTTACTAAACTTTTGAATCACTCTAACAAAACTACCACATCACTAACCAAGTCACCTCCTTTGATTTTAATCTGAACCTCATCCTTGTTCTGTTACCACTAACTATTTGAGACTTCTAGTGGAGATAATTCAAAGGTTTTAGATCCTATAGCTGCTAGTCAACATGCCATCATGATTAAGGTAGCCATAGCAGACTGGCTTGATTACCAGCGTCATGCTATCAACCATGTACACATTTGAAACTGATTTGCAGTTGCTAGTTCTGTTCCATATTTGTTGTGTGCATCTTAATACTATTTCTTTTGTGTAATAAAATGCCAAAGGTTAGGTCTATATCTAGCTGGCCCCTCCCAAGATCTCATATATTCAGGATCAACATTGGGTAATTTTATCTTAATATGCTCTCCCATCTGTGTTCTTGGATGGGCATGATTGCAGGATATCGAGAAAAGGTTTTTGCAATTGTTGGAGTCAAAGTTTATGCTGCAGGGCTATATGCAAATCCGTTGATTATAGGAACATTAAATGCTTGGAAAGGACGATCGGCTGCTGAGATTCAACAGGATTCATCATTGTTTCACTCAATGTTTCAAGGTAACAGTGATATAACTTTGATACTTCCTTGAAAATAACAGTAATTCCATCAGAGTGTTATCAATATAATCTTTATCCTGCAGCTTCATTGGAGAAATCATTACAAATAGTACTGGTGAGAGATGTTGATGGTAAGACCTTTTGGGGTGCATTAGATGAAGCTATCACACCAAGAATCAAAGAACCCACTCTGGTTGATGAATCAGCACTTTCCAAATTCCGAGACATCTTTCAAGGGCGTCCTCTTAAGAAAGGAACTTTTATTTTCTTGACTTGGCTGGGTCCATCTAAAATGCAAGTAAGTGTATCTTGGGTAGATGACAACAAGATCACATGCATGAAACCATGCTTCTACATTTTTTTTTTTTTTGATAAATAACCATGCTTCTACATTTGAATGACTATAAATGCATAGACATGCATTATTACATATATGGGTGTCCTCATGCATGTATATGGACAACTATCAAACATTAATGTTATTTGTATCACTTAACTGGAACATACCTAGTTACCTACTTTATCATCAAGTAGTTTCATCACTGCAGATGCTGGCATTAACCTCCAGGAAATTCATTTCCTTGGAAGTTGTGATCTGTATTGACTAACTACCCTGTTATGTTCATAGAAAAATTGGTTGTTTAGATGTTTTCCCCCCTTTTTTTCTGTTTTCATGGTGTTCATTTACTACTTGATAAGAGATGTATGTACTGTTATATGCAGGTTTGTGTCTCATCTGATGGAATGCCTTCTAATGTGGATGCTACAATTGAATCAACAAATGTCACATTGGCCCTTTTTGATGTTTTCCTTGGAAATACTCCAGTATCTCCTTCCCTGAAAGCCTCAGTCTCCAATGGGTTAGCAAAGGTTCTGAAATAGATGTCACTGCAAGTTGGTTTACTTTTGTTGTCCAAAGGACTAGTTAGTTCATCTGTTTCTTTGGCCTTGAGTTTACTCAGTTTTTTCCCTTCCACATTTATACCATAGAATTTGTTCAGAGAAGAAGAGTGTAAGACATCTCTCAACTATTACTAAGCATATATGGTGCATTAAAAATAAAGGGATAATATGCCAATATTTGCAATAGCAGGTGACTATTGGATGGCAATGCAGAAACAGGTAGACCTTTTTTGTTCGAATTTTTGTTTTGTATTATTTTTCCTTGGTGGATCTTCAGTTATGAGGTTTCAATCAATAACTTTGTTGTTCTGTGAGATTTCTTTCTTTTTTTTTTGTTAGGAAGTATTAACCATTGACTGAGTTTTAGTTAGTTAAGTAGTTACAATTAAAAGTGCTTAAGTACTGGAACCATCAACTTACTGTGTATGGACCCCCTCTCTCCAAGTGCATGGGAGCTCTGTTATGTGATGCCCATGGCAACTAAGAATTCTACGAACAACAGACTGACCCTTTTATGGTAGCATTGATGTTAAGCCATCATGTAATGTCTAATTGGAGGAGGGTCTTCTTTGTCGATGTGATTCCATCAGACCCTTCATCTACTTTGAAGTGGTATATTGTTCCATGACCTGACCTTAATTTTTGTATTATAAATTCTGAATGAATATTTATCTTAATTTCTATTTTATAGAAACTTAAACTCTGTAAAACCAATCCATTCATATATTGTCCCCACCCTAAAGTTTCTAGTAACTAACTTGGCTCTGCCTGGCAGCTTCAATAGGTCGTTCTATAATCTATTTGATACCCTCAATTAACCTCTAAAGCTACTTCTTTTTGGCCCATACCTAAAACACTTATTTATTCCAACTTTGATTTTAATCCTCAATGTTATAGGCCAATTATGCATGGTGAACTATGATGGTGGAGACAGATAACAAGGTCAGTAGAGTAGTCAATGTAGAAGAGAGGTTCTAGGATATTATGGTAAATGAAGGTAGGTAGTTACTATTGGGAAGGAGGCTTGTTGGGACTAGTTGTTTCAATAACAATAGCTTCTATTGTTACTGAATAAGCTGTAAAAGTTTAATGGAAGGTCTGGGCTAGGGCATGGAAGATGATCCATGTGTGCTCTTATAGCAGGAGGTTCCTCCTGAAGTTGGATGTTAATATTGAGACTTAGGTTATTTATGATATTAAGTGCTTATTTTCAGGTATTATGTTTGTTCTGGACCTTATGGTAATAAAGTCCTTTCCTAGGCAGATGTGTGGCTTGGGGATTTGGCTCTCAAGGACAGATTCCCGTCCATTTACTCCGTATCTTTGAGTAAAAGGAAAGCAATTTCTGATATTAGAGGTAATGGGAATTCTTGGGATTTGGGGTTAAGGAGGGGGTAAGAGAGTCTGAAATGGAGGAAATTGATGATCTTTTTTCTCTTCTGAACTTGGTCTTTTTTGACAACTCTTGTGAGGATAGTAGAATTTGGTTGATTTCCCCTGTTCTTTTTCTTGCTCTTCGTTTTTCAGTGTACTGTTGCATTTCTCAGGTTTTGGCAGGGTCTTTTCCAGCCAAATAGGTTTGGTGCAGTCCAATGCCTCCAAAAGTGAGGGCTTTTTGTTGGGAAGTGGCTCACAAAATGATCAACACTTGTGATGTGCTTCAATAAAGAAGGCCAAATTGGTGCCTATCTCATATTTGCATCCTCTACTTTGGTTCTGGTGAGTCTGTTGAACACCTACTAATCTCTTGCACTTTTGTCTCTATATTTAGAAGTGGTTTTGGTCTCTCTTTGTCTGTAGGTGGGCCCCTCCTGCTGATGTGGAAGGGCTCTTTGAAGCAAACTACTATAGATAACCAAAGAAAAGGGGAAGATTTCTATGGAGAGCTGTAGGAGCAAGTATTATGGGTGATTTGGGAAGAAAGGAACAACTGGATTTTTCAAGGGAAAGAAAATTCTAAGAAAGAATCGATTGACAACATTACCATTAAGGTAGCACATTGGGTTAAAGTCAATGATATATTTAAGGAGTTTTTTGGTTGATAATATAATTAAGGGCTGAAACATAGTAGCAAATTCTTCAAGGTACAAGTCTTTGGTACAAGAAGAATGCGCACCCTCTACACAGCAAATAATTAAGCTAAACTTTGAATGGGAGATCACTTGGAAACCTGGGGTCATCTGGGATATGAGGAGTCCTACGGGACACAGAAGGAAGATTCTTAGCCCTCCTTTTGGGGCCGACAGGGGTGGGAGATTCATTAAGAGCGGAGGTGATAGCCCCTCCTTCAAGGATTGAGATTGGCAAATCAATTGGGCCTCAACCAGATTGAAGCAGAAGGGGATTTGAAATTGGTAATTGGATGGATGCATGAAGGCAGTTTAGGGGTATGGACCTATAGACAAGCAAGGAGAGAAATATGGAGGTTGGAAAGGGAGATTAATGTAAAATTTAATTGGGTAAGAATATCACTAATGGTCTGGCTGATGGCTTAGCTAAATAAGGGTCAACCAGGGCTGAGTTTTTTTGGGCAGCACTGTAACTGTTTATCATTATGAATTAATGAATGAAAGTTACCATTTCCAATAAAAAAAACTATAAGTGCTTATTTTCATTTCTGCTATTTGTTAGCTGGTTCCTTTCTGTTATTGGTTAGTTATTGTAAATTGCAAGGGGGCAAGGACAAAATATAATGGTTTATTGTTATTTGATATTATAGTATGTTGGTAACAAGGAAAGATTAGAAATGCAAGGAGGCTACTGTAACTTTGATCAAAGGTTTTGGTTGAGACTGAAAAGAAAGAATTGAAGAACTTTTCCGGGTTGCTGTAGTATGTTCCTTTCTCCAATTTTAATATTATGCTAATTTCTTATTCCATTTTTATCACATATTTCATTTCTAAAAACCCATAGGTTATGTTAAATCCACTGAGCTTAAATCCCACACATGAACAAATTGAAACCTAGTATATGGGCTGAATGTATAATGCCTTCAATGCTGTTCAAAACAAATGCCAAACAGGCCCACAAGCAAAGTGTTTACCTTTTTTTTGGTAAAAGTGTTTGACCTTCAGGGATATTAAAAGTTGCACTAGCTTTCTCTAAACGTGGAAAATGGTAAAAGACCGCAAAGTTCTCTCTTTATGTTGTACTGAATTGTGGAGATCATATGTGATTTCCATCATTAAAAGTAGTAGAAGATCAAGACTGTAATCAGTCTTGAATCCTAATAGGTTTTAGGTTTGCAAAACAGAAGAAAAGTGAGAGAAAGGAGAGAGAATAGAAGAGAAACAAGAGAACACAAGTTGTTGAAAGGAGGGACAGATTCTAA